ACTTCCCAGTACGAAATACTAAGTGAATACTAAATATTTAACATTCGAAAACAAGTACGAGAATAATGATGAAAAACAACTGAAATGATGAAAGTGATCCGGGAGTGTGGTCGCGCAAGAAACGCGCAAGGTTGGCGCAAGCTCGGCCCAAGAGGCCTTTGTGGGAACAGTAATTTAGGACAACCCCCATATGATAATATATATGTATATATACACATAAGATATGATATATATATATATATATATACACCTAAGATATGATATATATAGATATAAACATATATGATACATAGGGATTCAAGATTCCCAAGCATTTCCCGGCCACGTGGCTCACGTCCCCTGTTTTGCATAATGTTAATAATATCATTTAATATCCTCAATCTTTATGGCTTGAACAGGCATGGTTACACGCATGTTTCATCCTTAATGCCCCAATGCTTCGGCCCAAATCATTGAGCTGAATTTGCGCCCGGACCTAGGAGCCTATCGCCTTGAAACGTGCAGCAATTCTCTTGAGCCGTACGACCTCAGGGCTGGATGTTTTTCACGGGCGTCCAAATCCCAGATCTGAACAGCGGGCGTTTTTCATGGGGTAAGAACTGGTTCATGTTATGCTGTAGTTTCAAAAAAAATATGGATGATATGGTTCCCATTAGTTTCCCGATTTCCCATTTTCACTCAAAGATTCACTAGGGTCCAACCCTTTGGGTCTGACGTCGAATCCGCACCACGAAATGGCTCAGTAATACTTGATATTTCAGGGCGAAGGATCAGCGCTGGTCTCAATTTTTCCTATATTTGCAATCATTGTCAATCATAGAAATGGATAAAAATGGGATTATCCGCATTGACTTCCACTGTGAAACAGTGAGGTGGCTCAACTGTCCCCAGTGGTGTCACCAGCAGGTATACCTTCGTGCCGCCCCCTGGACTTCCTCCTCCTCCAGGCCAATCAAGCAAAACGTTTGGGATGTGAACGAAAGGGCAAGATTGGCAGATTGAAGATACCGGTGTATAAAAAAAACTGATTTGTCAAGTACATGCGCTTCTCACCAAGCCATTGGGGATTTACTACACCTCCTGACTCAAGAACGAATTATTATTCTGTAAGGCGGGTAAGGCGAATGGCTTTGTCAGATAATCCCCTTGTCAAAATTGAGTTCTGTTAATTTGCAACTGGTTGGCTGCTTCAACTTGTTCCAAAACTATTGATGAAATCACGCCGGAGAGGCAACAACAATGGAGAACAATGCAATTCGACGACACAGGAACCCCTGATATTCATCAACTTGTGTTTATACTTTTGCTAGGTGTCTTATTGTTTTCTGACTGATTGTTTCAACCCATCCTCAAAAAACAACGTCAATTGGCATCCTGGTCCTAGACAGTATCGAAAATGTGAACACACTCATAACCACAAGATCGGTTTATTGATACTACATGATTCAGCTTAGATCTGTCTTAAAATATTTAAGTGTTCTTCCTCCAGCAAAATGATAACATGAAAACATGCATATATATATACAGAATTTTATAGACTCCACTAAAACACAAGAAACAAAACATTAAATAAACTACTACACGGGACCAGTCGGTTTACTCTAATATGATCAGTTGTTTGAATTTTCACGTTTGATGATCAACACCCATTTGCTGTTGACATTTATCATCATTTCTCACAGCCTGGTCAGCACATAATAGCAGCCCCAAATTGATAGAACAGTTGGAAAACTGGAAGTGATGGGGGTAAACACTATCGATATACAAAAGTCCGGAGACACTGAAAAACCTTTTCAGAATCTGGAGGCTCGAAACCCTGCTACTTTGACATGATTGTAATGACCATTGATTTTTTTTGCAGTGTTGGACAAAATAGAATTCAGAGCATTGCAATACATCTACCCCAGCAAGGCGATCTTCACACCCATTTATCACTTTGGTTTCAAAACTTGGTACCCCAAAAAACTAAATTTTAGGATTGGAATTGACAAAGGTCAATGTATTTCTGCCGTTTCCTATCAATGTATAGTGAGTTTGTAAGAATATGATTGGCGTTCTTTGGGGATCTCATATCTTTTATGGTTAATCGTGACATGTTAACATATATAGTGTATATATATATATCTATCTATCTATAACTACATACATATGTATGCAATCGTATGCATATATCATATACAAGATGTTACTTTAACTACCCAACATTCATTGCGCATGGTTGAAAATGCCCCATCATCTAAGCTGGATTTGCTGAGTCGATAGTGTCCCCCTTATTCAGCCATCGATGTTCGTTATGATTATCATTGTTGATCATTATTAGTTGTCATTATGATTATTATCATTATGATATTATGATATTATGATCATTATTGTTGTTTATTGTTTGTTGTTTGTTGTTTGTTGTTTGTGGTTTGTGTTTGTTGTTGTTGTTGTTGTTTTCAATAATATCATGATTAATTATTAATGAGTACTATTATCACTATCACTATCAATAACATTATGGATGATTCTCATCCTTTATGCATTATCATATTATTATTGATCACTAATATAATTAATATCATCATAATTCAGAACTGTTATTCTTCATGTCTGTTTTTAATCTATATTTATGTTATCAGCATATTTTCCCCCCTCCATCAGCAACGTTGTGGTCGCCCGTCGCCAGGAAAGTGCCTCCGAGATCTTCTCCAGGACTTGGTGACCGAGCCGGCAGGGGGTCTGAGTTGTTGGCTTCGAGATTTTACTGGTTTGATGGGTATAAAAGGGATAGGAAAGCTATGGAAAGCTCTAAAAGTGATGGGGATATATAGGGGATATATATAGATATACTGGGATTGGTATCATGGGATTGATAGCTATGATATTTGGGTGTGTCTGAAAATGAGGGAATCAACTCTCAAAATAGCAAGTTTTGGGGGAACATGATGATGCATTCACCCGCATTTTTGGTGGATACCATATTTTCAGACAAACCTAGACGCATAACCTCGACTTGGCCGAAATTCCCAGAAAACAGCTTATCTGGAACCAAAGCATAGTTAACATGATGCTTGATTTTGTTGCGCCTTGCTCTTGGGAATTACTGTATGCCACACTGACGCCGCTCCTGAATCCTGTTGGTGCACCTAGATCTTCTTTTGATTGCTTTGAGCCGTTGACTCTTGCCAAGATGTGTCAATGGGGCATACTCCCAGAATTGCAATTGAAGGGGGAATGGTTTACGATTGAATATTGATTGGGATTTGATTGGGTAATATTGGGTATGTATTTATAATTATTTACAGTACATTTCCGGATGCTTAAACTGTGTAAAACCCGTATGTTTGATGGTACTCCATCGTGGCCTCACTGCCGAGAGTCAACTCTCCTGAGGCTATGATCGAGGTCGAAGGCCGGGGTTCGTCACCATAGGTTTCAATATGGTCCAAGGAATTCCACAAGGAAATAACATATATATGTATACGATATAACTATTTCAAGCAGTTTTTGTTTATGTAGTAACAAAACATGAGAGATGGGGGTGAAATTCCATTGCTATTTGAAAGTACTAGAGAGTGAAGATATAGGGTCAGGCCAGAGAAGTTGAGGACTAAGATTGAGAAGATGTCAAGGCAAGCTGTTTTGAGGCAGTACAACAGCTGGCAGGTTTCTAACCACAAGTCCCGGGATCTTAGATCCTGATCTCACTCTGCTCAGAATGGTAGCTTGTTGGTTGATTATTTTCTTTTTGTTTGGAGGTTTATATGTCTGTAAAAATGACCAGACTGGTGGTTTCACCGCTTTTTTGTGGGATGATGACCAGACAGATTTCAACAGCTGGCAGGTTTTTCCAAGGAGAACTTGGCAAGATGGCATCCCGAATCCGTTGGTACCAGGCAGGTCTTGTGGTGCTTATTCATTGACCATGGATATATCATAAAGATTTGACCCACAATAATTGGGGGCATCCATATGGAGCATTTAACAATACTTCTAACCGTCCCCAAGAAGATAGAAAAGCGTTTCCAGGAGGTTATGAATGATATTTAATACATATGTCCAGGTTTTTCCACCATTCTATCTATTAGGGGGTTGCTATAACATAAATAGCTCTCAAATAGAGGGAATTAAAATGAATTAAACATGAATAAATGAAGATTTGATCGGAACAAGGCCTTTGGGCATAGCTCTTATGGCTGAGTTTGTTTTGTTCCGCTGAGCTAGGGCAGGGACAGCAAGAGACTTGTCTGGGGGGGGACAATAGCCTCCAGTGTATCCCCATTCGACTCGCAGAAATTGATATCATCCCACTGTGACAGACATGTGTATAGTGGTTGGATTTCTATATACATATGTGTCTGTGTGTGGGTCTATCCATACACATCTACATCATCTCATCTATAATATATACATATATATATAGCATATATATATATAGCATATATATATAGCATATATATATATATACATGCATACCGATACATCCTGTATACGCCAACGCTGGAAATCCCATTTGCCCCCGCACACGTTCGGCAAAGCCAGTCCTCAAAAGAAAACTTCAGGTGTTCAACCGACGAGCCAGCCACGCCTCCGGTGCCATGCCGGGGTTGCCACCGGAGTTTACTTCGGGGTTGCAGTTGTGTTGATAAAACATGATAAAACATGATAAAATTTCATAAGTTGGGATATAAGCCCTACAACTATGGTCATGTTATATATCCGCTAATGACTGGAACATACTGGAACAACATAAGTAGGTTCGCTATGAACAGTGGACAAAAACTGAGTCCTGTTTTCGTCCGTTACCAGCAGCAAATGTGAGGATATGAACAAATATATTACTGCAGATCATATGTTATTTTATTTATAATCTATTATATGAAATTACATTATACGTATTATATTATATTATATTATACGTATTATATTATACGTATTATATTAATTATAATATACGTATTATATTGTATTATATTGTATTACATTATATTATATTGTATTATATTATATTATACGTATTATATTGTGTTTTATTATATTATATTATATAGTATATTATATTATATAGTATATTATATTATATAGTATATTATATTATATATTATATTATATTATATATTATATAGTATATATATATCACATTATATATTATATATTATATTTTTTTTAAAAAAAATATATTTTATATTATATATATATTATATCTTATTTTTTTAATATATTACATGTTAGTTATATATTATATTATATATTATATTATATATTATATATATTATATATGTTATATATTATATATTTTAAAATTTATATTACATATTATATTATATATATATAATTTTATTGTAATTTATATATATTATATATATATATTATTTTATATTACATTATGTTATACTATATGATATTATATATAATATAGTTTATATTTTATATTATATATTAAATATTAGATATTATATACTATATTATATATTATCTATTGCATATTATATTGTATCATGTTACATTTATATTATATTATATATTTTATATAATATCTATAATGTACAATATATATATATATAATGTATATATAATATACATTATATACTATATGTATATATATATATTACGTGTGTATATGTATAATTATACATATATACATTACAGTAAATAATATTTATATAATTTTATATATGTGTTTTTGTTTGCAAAGGGGGTATAACCGGCAAGAGAATGTATCTAGATCAAGAGGCAAAGCAACAGGAGCAGCTTCCCCGTCGAACAATGGACAAAACTGGTTTTGGAATATGAATCTCTGGGTGGAAGTAGTGTCTTTTAGTGGTTACATTTATTTGTTCAGGGTGTACTGTTTCATTTATATAGTCTGTCTACCTGATCACACCGTGAAGAGGATGATGATCCTTTGAGGAAGTTGCAATAGCATGGATTGTTGTGCAACAAAAATGTGGGACTTTTCCCAACAAACATGGTGAAACCAGAAAACATGGAGAAAAAATCCAAAGTTTTTTGGCAGTGACTCCATCAGCCTGAAGCTGGGCTTGGGGCAGATTCAAGATCTCCCCCCCGTTTGAAAACTATGCTAAAATGGCCCTCCATTTTCAGAATCCACTACTATCTTCCCAGTGGAATCAAGGTCCACAGTAGCAAGGCTAAGTCCGTAGCCAGGATTCAACTTCAATGCACTTGAGCTGTTTTTCAATGTCGGAGATCTACCAAAATCTCTAGAAACAAGGAGCTATTATTAGTTGACCACCATCACAACTCCTGGAAAGATTCTCAAAACTCCAGGTGTGCCAAAAAGAAAAGAGGACTACCTTCCAGGAATCAGAATCAAACATCCTCATATCTATGTCCATCATACACACATATATATATTATACACATTACATATATCAACTTGATTTCTAGATGTTGTTTCATTGTACAACATCCATGGAATTCCGCCAGGCAGCACGTGCAGAAGACCTGGATGGGGATTGGTCCATTGCCACGAGTGCAAAAACCGCCCAAGCGTCGCAGATCCCAGGGAAGTGGCTTTTCCATTGATTCCTGAAAGCTGATACCTTTCAATTGGAGGAAAATTGAAAGGAATCTACCATATAGATGTACATACATGTTATATATATATATACATATTATATATATTTTTTTTTCATATTATATATACTTATTATATATTTTCATATTATATATACATATATGTATCCATAGGATTTTCTTGAAGCTTGTAGTAAAAGGGCCCCAGATGTCACATGATCTCTGGAGATTTGTTCCGTCACAGTGTGTGTTTTGCACATGTCCAGTGCATTGATATTTCTGATCCATGGGGATCCGTTCATGGGGATTTTCTGGGGATTTTAATGGGATTTTATAAACCATACTATAGTGATTTTTCATGGGATTATCATGGGAATATATGGGAATCATGGGAATATGACATCTGAAAGATGATAACCCTATAGAGTCTCATAGATATACATAAAACGGATCAGGGCCTAAGGTGGAAATACTGTATATGAAGTCTACATAATTCTACATGAATGTAGACATCGCGGTCGCGTGTGAATTGTAGAGCCCCTAATCGTGTTCATCCAGAAGTTGAACCTACCCACTGAGGACGCAGACATTTGAGGATGAGGCTGGCCCTCTGGTAATTTGACATGGTTTGCTGGAAAAACCCAACGTCTACTGGGAACACATGGTACCACTGGTCAGAAAGATTGTGGATCTTATGCCCATTAGTACAATATGACAAACAGGGGATGCACATTTTTTTTGTGGGCATAGCAGGAAGTGTAGATGGCCAAAAAATATTGAATCCACCAATTTCATGAGCGTACTTCAGGTAGGTGAGACGTTTGAAATTTCACAGACTGAGTCAAAGCATGCAAATGCATCCATTTTAGAAGATGTGTTGTGGTGCATATGCGCAAAATGGGTTGACTTGATGTCATATGATTCTATACGACATATGTAAACGTATGATTCAATGATGATGTTTACATGTGCATCGTAGCAACCAATGTAAAGATGATCACGAAGCCAGACGTCTCATGTGCTCACCCAGCTAATTGGCAACATGTTTGGAGCCATTTTCCTCAATAAGTCCAAGCTTTCTGCGGGTAATATTTCAAAAGAACTTCATGCGACAGTAACTGTCCAAAATCTGTGAAAGCCAAAGTCATTTGGCTGGACATGCTTAGAATCGAGCGGAGAAAAGGACGGGTCTGAAGCTTTGTGAAGGATCATTCGTGAGTATGTGTCTGAAAATGGGTACCCGGAAATCACATGAGCAGTGTTCAAGTTTCCCCTGTTGGTTGATGATTAGTTCGGGGATGAAAATCACCCTTCATATATTGGGGATTATTTCATCCAAGAACGGGGAATCCCTATGAACAAACCAGTATTTCATGTTTGTTTCCCATTACCCATATACGAACCATGGTGCTGGAATATTTACCAACATTTGCCCAACATAAATCACCCAGGTTTGTAAATATACCATAATATACCAGCACCATGGTTCGTATATGGATTATGTAATGGCGAACTGTTCAACCGGTTGATCGCCAAGGACATCTGACACATCCATGTCATCACGGAGTTGTGCGAAAGTCAAGTCCTCCCAAAAAATCGCCCTTTTCAACGCTATCCTGTGGGTTTGGGGAGGGGACCGCCAATAAGATATACGTAATTATACGTAAATATATACATACACATTTTTATATAATAGTTAATATATATATATATATATATACATAGTGTGTATTATATATAATAGTATATAGATATATGCATAGTGTATATAATATATATATATACATAGTGTATATTTATTTTGTATACTATAGAATGTTTATATATATATATATACTATATATATAATATTATCTTATATTATATCATATATATTATTATATAGTGTATATTATATGATATATATGATATTATATATATAATTAGGCTCTATGGATCCTTCTGAGGAAGTATTTGGGGTATGCATTAGGTGGTTAAGTACCTGAAATAATTTAGATCTATAGGGAGGGTATGCGTGTATAGATGTTCTATGCTTAAGTACCTGCGTGGTAAGTTCACTAAGAATGCCTAGTTCCCGTTACCGTTGATCCCATCACAGTGCACTACTGGTACTGCGTGACAACCATGTTTTGGAGAACTCCTTGCCATCAATAAGAAGTGGCTATGTCACCATATTTGTTGATGCTAGGCAAAACCATTCCCAAGAACGGTGAGCTGCCGCAACTTACCGACAAAATTATAGAACATCGGCAATGTTTCCTAAATGTTGCCAACAAAATATTCAAGAAATCACATGAAATCACCATAAATCACAATAATGTTGGTCTATAAGAGTAGTTTTCCAAAACCAACACCTGGAGTCTCAGCAGGAGGAGTTCGTGCAGCCCTGGTCTGGATGCCGAGCGTGGCCGCGCCATATGGGATCCCGGAAGTGGATCAACGCTCATTTTTAATGAGAAAAATATGATGTTTAAGATGTTTAAGGGTATCAGATGAATTTCATGGGTTAGAATGAGTTAAGAACTTGGGATCAACCATGATCAACCCGTCAAATTGATGGTGTTTTTCCATTCTAACCCATCAGATTTAGGGGTATCCTAGTTTCAGACCCCACATGATTTATTTTTGCTTTGTCATTATACTCCAGATGGTTTACCCTTTATCAAACCTGGCAATGGAAAACTGTCGGGGGTTCACAGCTTCTGGGTGCCGAATGCATGCGCGATGATTCGATGATCCCTGGACCATGGAAAGGTATACAAAATTGATCAAAATTGCCAAAATGGGTTAACATGGTGGATTTTCCACCGCCACTTTGGCTTACCGGAGGGTCCGGAGGGTAGGGTTTTTGCGAGATGACCTTGACTGATCGAGCCTTCCGGTGAAAGCCAGGTCCCCGGAGTTTGATGAAGCAGAGATCGAAGTTGCTTTGGAACCGGTGTTGAAAGAGATGCTGGGGCAGGACGTCGTTAGAACCGGGTGATCTGACCGCCCATTGACAATTGAATTGGATTGGAACCATCAGAATGGACACTTCATCACCCAAAAAGGCTATTTGAGCCTTGTCCGCAATCCCCATGTTCACGAACATTGTATGCTTCAGCAATGATTGATGATTGGTCACTGGTATACCACCCTTCTTCAAAAGGACATAATTGACAGCGGGACAGGGCAAGGAGGGTCATTGGATGGTCTCCACAGGGAATGAACTCAGGCGCTTCTTGGTTTTGGCGGTGGTATGACAGTGGTATGATCAAAAGTGTTTCTTCCACGGAAACCTTGTGCAACGTGGAAATTTGACTGAAACAGCGGAAACCGTGAAACTATAACCCAACGCCCCGACGCGTCCAGTTGCCTGTATATTAGAAACTGGCCCAGTTACCAACCTCACAGGCAACCAGACGGAACCGGAACCAGGCACCACGATTCCAGGTAAATTTGGACATATGTGTGAGGGTTTGACAATATATACATGTTTGATCATGTTTGTACGCTTTGAGACGTTGAGATCAATTTGTTCACAAAAAGAAGTCATGATACGGAAACCGTGAGGAAATGGGGTGGAACGGTGGAACCTATGAGACCATCCCGCGGCAGCCCTTGAGATGGAAACTGAGCCAGGACAAAAGCAAGGGCAAGGCGCGGGAACGGGGATCAACCCCTGCAGATGGGTAGAGGTGACCAACTATTATAATTAATCTAAAATATATAATATATAGTGTGTATATATATATATATGTAATATATAGTATATGATATGTAATATATAGTATATGATATGTAATATATAATATAATATATAATATATAATATATAATATATGATCTATAATATATGATCTATAATATATAATATATCATATATCATATATAATATGTAATATATAATATATAATATATAATACATAATACATAATATATGATATATAACATATACAATATACAATAGATAATATATAATATTTAATATATAATACATAGTAAACAATATGAAATATGTAATATATAATATATAATATGTAACATATGGTACAGAATATATAATATATAATATATCATATATAATATATTATATATAATATAGTAATTAATATTTAATATATATAATATATAATATAGTATATAATATTTAATATATAATATAATATAATATTTAATATAAAATATAATATAATATAGTATATAATATATAATATATATTATAATATATATATATATTATAATAGATATTATATAATTTAATATTAAAAATATATATTGTCATATATATATATTGTCATATATATATATATATTGTCATATATATATTGTCATATATATATATTGTCATATATATATATTGTCATATATATATATACATAGTCTATAGTCTATATTGTATATGTAACAAGCAATTACATGGGGCTTGAATTTATGTCCCATGGATTTGGGGATAGCATACATATTTCCACATGATGGCCCATGACTAGAAATGGGGCCGGCTTCCGGTCACTGTTTTGAAGACCGACATATCCAGGCCATCCTTATTGAAATATCATGTTATCGTGTTTTATCATACATTATCCATTTCGGGATGCAATTAATAAGTCATGAATTTTGAATTTTGTTTGACATACAAGCAAGTCGTGGATCTTAACCACTGACTGCGGAAATTCCAAAATCCAGCCAGGTATATAGAGATCTTCCAGCACTCCTTGGGCATCCTTGACATGACTGTACCACATGTGACTAGGACAACCAATGTAACTACCTAAGAGCCACACAGAATCAAGAATCACAAATGATGTGCAGACAAGATAAAGATATTCAATGATATTCAAATCATAAATGATTCCTCTTCTTTTTCTCTGTTCGCTCACTGAAGTTCACTGAAGTTCCCAGGGAAAGGAGAAAGCTCCAGGTAGTGTGAGGAACTCAGGTTGCTGAAGGGTGACCCGGGTGGTCCGGTGGACCACAATGGCTGGAGTCAGCGGATTTTGAAAATGGTTTGTATCCCGGATATCGCCAAAATTGATCCAAATTGCAAGTTTCTTGGTGAAGATATGTGAAGATTATGAATGACGAACCACTAGAATGAGAATTTTGGGGTCATCCGAAAAGACAGACCATGACAGACCCAAATAGTAAACACCCGATTCCACTTACCATTTTGCCGTTGTTTTTCTCTCACAGTAGCTTCTGGTTCAAATCCCACTAATTCGTGCCACCTACTTGTTTTTTATTGATTCACAACTATAAACCCATCAAACTATTATCACCATAAACCCATATTTAAACCCCAGTTGTATTATGGTTATAATATGTTATAATGCCAAGCACCTCAAGTTTCCACGCTGGTTCCATTTGACAGAAATGTGGTGCTCAGGTGCGATGGTGGACCCGTCCAACTTCGCCACTCTTGTGTCCATTGTCCGGCTTTCCAACTTCTTTGCTGTCGAAGCCTCAAGCCTATTCAAGCCTCATATCTGGCTTTTGGATGCTGAAAAATATCGAAAAATATATACATCCTTTAAGGTTTAATCATGATTAGTCAGTCCAATCTGGCAATCAAAAGCATGAACATATCCATTTATGGATGCAGTTCCAGTCACAAGTTGCGGTGTTCATGGGTTGTCCACTGCAATACTTGATTACCAGAAGGCATGGGTCAATTCCGAAGACACAAGGGACCTCATTTTCTTCGTAGGATTTGTTTGTCCAACCAAGATGGAGCGTGAAAAAAAGGGTGTGGCCGGAGGTAGCTTTGTGTTGGTTGCACCTTCATTTTTCAAGGTCACAATCACGGAGAACAATATAGCACTTTGTCCATTGTTCACGCTGAGTCAAAATTCCAAGTCTGATGGTCGTATCGGACAAATCAGATCCCAGTTTTGGTGGTTAGTAGGACCGCACAAGGCGGCGGCGGAAGTTTCAAAGATAGGACACCCATGTGAGAGGTGAGTTGTTGTGATTCATGGATGGCAGAGCATTTTTTTCGAACAAAATAACAAATCCCACCACTAGGGGTCCCGCAAATACCGCAGATGAGAGACTCGTCTCCCTTTTTTGATGGGGTGAATTCCACTTTTTTGTCTGTTTTTTGAATTTCCCCTTTTTTGCTGACAAAATTTGCCAAACTTCTCGGTGAACATTTTTCCCACCTGGGGGAGCATCCCAGTAAGTCATGAACAAACGATATGATACAATCCCTATCTAATATATATATATATATGCTGTAATTATATACATGACCATTTGCCAAAAATAGTTGACCAATATTTTGTACCAGTGGTTGATAATTAGTGTGGATCTAGTGGTTTTCCTCTTCATTATGAGGCGGCACGCAACTAAATTCATCAATTCTGAAGGGCAGCGCTAGCAAACCCGCTAGGTTTGCGCTAGGTTTTTTTCACACCCATGTACAAGGATATATATTTTTGAATGTGTTCCTGACTGCTTCCTATTTTAACATGAAAAGTTAAGATGTCACACTCAGCTCCTTAAACCCAAGGATGTCTTAGTGAATTTCTGTGCTGGTCAACAATGTTACTATATTTTTGATTAAGGTTGTTGCTCAAATTTGGGAATTTGTGCGTTGTTTTACCAGCTAGATCCCTGCTAGCAACGCGCTAGCAAAAGTTTCAAAAAACGGCTTTGGCTGACCCGCGACCCAGTCGCCACCAGAGAACTTATAGTTTGTTTGTTTGACAAGAGCAACAGTGATAGCAAAGGCAACGACAAACCCCGCAGCAGATGAAAATTTATTCCAGTTCCACGACTAATAATTAGCAGCGGCACCCACTCCATATAGACGTGTGCTAGGCATTCACTGCAGGTTTTAGCTACGGTTTCAAACGTGAAAGATAAAATGCAGAGTTTCAGACTATTTAGATCTGTTTAGATAAGTCATAGTGTCATAGTTTAAAAAACCAAACAAGAAGCGGCACGCAAGGAATTACGATTTATCAACCAAACCAGAAGAAAACATGTTGACAAACCGTCAGTATATTAATATTAATATATATATATACATAAAATTTCATAAACAAACATATGACAGCTATTATTATATCTGATCCATGTTTTTCCCCAATCATTACCCAATACTCAGCAAAATTGCAGTTGATTCTGCAGACCGAGGCCATATCCACCCTTCAAGTTGCGCGTGGATCCCGCGAAATCGACACCACATCGCTTGGTGGATGGCAAATTCCTGGCCATGACCTGTGCCACGACTTGGGACCGCTGTTCAAATTGCTGGATTCAACATGATTTACCCTCTGGTAATTTAACATAGCTATTGAAAATGGCCATTTATAGTGGATTTTCCCATTAAAAATGGTGATTTTCCATAGTTATGTTAGTTCACCAGAGGGTAACCTTTTTTTAGCAATTCAACTATCCAACAGTGTGGGTTTCACCATGAAATATATGGATGGATACATGATTGATCCATGAAAAATGATGGATTTGACCTTCGATTTGATGGTGATGGAATCACCAATGACCAAACATTTGGAAATTCTGCTAATTCATATTATATATATATTATGTATATATATAATATGGATGGGAAATTCTCCAACCAAAATTTCGGATATAACAAATCCCGAAATAAATCCTATGTTTGCTTTGTTGGTTTCATGTTGAAGTTTTGCTTTCCACATTGATGATCCCTGACATCTTTTTTGGGGACAACATCCAAACCCAGGAATTTCACCACTGAATCGTTTTACGTACCCTCTGGTAATGACTAACATAGCTATATTGAAAATGACCATAGAAATAGTGGATTTACCCATTGAAAATTGTGATTTTCCAGAGTTATGTAAACGTATACCAGAGGGTAACAGATGGCGATTTGACCAACACAAGTTGAGAAATGAAGCAAGCAACCAAAAATAATGCTTTCCGACGGAACAGTTCGCGAGATAAGCTGCAAAAACTGGGGTTCCCAAATGGGGATTGAAAATTCTGGTCCCAATTCGACAAGTCCCAATGGAATCACAGAGGGGTTTGTCGTTTTCGACATCCTGGATACAGTGGCCTTGAATCATCTTGAAGCGGACTGAATTTGTTATGTTTGTAATCACCATCATAAAATTACTGCCGAAAAGAAATATGGTTGGCATTTGTTGGCTACAGGCTGCTGCTTTCTTTCAACAATTCGGATCCGTTTTTGGTTGGCGTATCCTGAGTTTTGGTGAGTGAAATACCCTGGTTCCTGTCTTTGTTTTGTTGGTTAAAACCAGCAAACTTGTTGTTTCGGAGTTCATGCTAGATGTCTGGGAGTTGTACCAGATCAATTGGTGAGTAGTTGGTCATGATTGTTGGCTTATGTACCATTAGGCAATCCAATTTGCCCAGGGAAACCCCCATTTCTAGTTTTTTGAAGATGGGGATTTTGACTAGGTCAGACTACCGAAGCCTACCCGATGGTTTTATCCGCCACCTCCACCAATGATTTTGTATGCTGAGTAGTGGGTAATATACCCAATGAGGTTGCGGTTAAGTCACCATCTATGTATGTTGGTTTGATCTAAATGTTTGATGTTTCAATGACTATATATTTGGCTGGTTTAATCACCTGTATCATGGTTTTTCATCACCATGTTAAATCATCGTTGTTTGATATGTTTTTGTTGCTTCATCCTCGTCAATGATGTTCCCAAACGGTTCCCGAAGAGCACAACGATTTTTTTTTTTGTGCCCAGGTATCGTGACCGGTCGCTATTCTGCTTGTGGTCGGGAGCTCCAGGCGCATAGCTTCGCTCTCTTTTGCGGGGTTACTGCTACTGTATGGCATACCAAACAAATTGCATATGTCAACCCAGATTTTCTGAAGATGGGTCGTTTTATTATGTTTTATTGTCCCATTAAGTCACCAGAACTGGGGAATTTCAATGTTGAAGCTTGGATAGCTGAAACAACGATTGGCAAGTGCCCACACGGCTCCTACATTTTTCAAGTGTTTATATAATACCTGTAGATAAGCAAATATGGGAGATGAGATAGTGATGATAATGTGTCCGGATGTCCAAAACGTGTGGCTGAAACATCAAGAAATCAAACTATTCCAGGGCTTACATGGGCTTACCAAGGTTTCAGCCGAATTTTGGGTCTGAACTTTGGTCAAAATCCAGCATTTCATGGTTTACGCTTACCCATGCTTACCCCATTTTTAGGGGTTGGTTTGCACGAAAGATAGCAACCTCGCACAACTAAATCCTCCATGATCTGGTATGCAAGGTTGATAGTGGCCATATCAGGTTTGGAATCTGTTACTTGGTGGCTCATCTCAGTTAGTAAGTGGATTACAACCCTAGTGATAACTGGACATTGGCCCTACTTACCCTATTAGAAACTGGGCTTAGAAGTCACTTGCTGAGATGAACCCCTAAGTACATTTGATGTCATTTGATATTATTTGATACAAGTTTCCTGCAATGGGGGTTACCCCCAAATCCATTTCATTTTCGGATGTTCATGGATTTTCCATGAAAAACCATCCAGCTATTTGAGATCCCTCATTTTGACCCGATGTGCTGCGCAGTCCAGCGACATCAGCGCCTTGGACGACTACATCCATCGTTGCCGGGGCACACAGTTGGAATCGATCGGAGAGTGGATAGGAATAGGATTGCGTTCCTTGAAATAGGGGGCATACCTTCAAGATAATGTCTTCATATATGTTGATATATGCTATGTTAATACAGTATTTGTTCATCTATGTGTTCTGTGATCATCTATGTTCACAAAGTTTACTGGAAATGATGATGATTTCATCAGTGGATTGAGAGTGCTCAATGGGCTTGTCTGATCTTCGGGCCATTTGGACTCTACTGGTATTGCTGTTTGCTGCCCTTTTCGGATTAGGTTTCAGAATCCTGGATTGTTTCCCACTTTTCCCACTTGTAAATGAAATGTTCGGATTCCTCCAATACTGACTAGGCTAAAGCATGCTAAAGCAGATGTGACGTTTCTATACATTGGTTTGTTGCAACCTTTTACTTGTGCCGCTCCATGCTTTGAACAGCCTGATTGTGCCCACCGTCCAGTGGTGTCTTTAGTTTGGACCTACCGACCTAGCCCTTGAGTCCTTGAGGTGCGAAATGGATCCAAATGGCCAAAATTGAAGACCCGGACCACAGATTGTCGTTTTTAATCATCCAATTATTATAATTATTGGGGTATCCAATTATTAACCATCCAATTAACCTATTATTAACCTATTAACCATCCAATGATTGGGTTCAATTTTGACATATTTTCACCATCCAACTCTTGGGGACCCGGAAACCCATGGAAAAGCGCCCCAAAATGGGGCAAGGGAACAGCATGCCATGTAGACCTGACGTCGAGGCTTTCAACTGACGGCCCGAGAGCGTAGAAGAGCATGTTACTCTCAATGAAATAGCCATTTAATAGGGATAATGATCAGCAAACCCATTGGGTAAAAAGGGGTACACTATTTTCAGACACACCCATGTTACTCTCTTGTAAGTAGTATCAAAGACATTGTAGGTGAAAGCTTCATTGAAGATGATGCAGATGATCAGCAGAAAGGAGATAGAAATGCTATGTCAGATTCTAAGCAGAAGCAGACAAAGATAGACACAAAATTTGAGAGACCAACAGAGACAGACAGCAAAGAAACACATACACACACAGACACACAAACAAAGATACAGACACAGACGCACACACACTGCTTAGGATTGGTTTGAGGATGATGAATATAGAGCTTGCCGTCGCCTGTTCGCCTAAGTCGCCTTCATGCAAACGAAAACTGAATCGGAAAGGAGCTTGCTGAAAATAAACCACAAAATGGTGACAGCTTGTTCAACAGTTCAAATTATGCAGGTACGTGACAAAGGCGTCCCTTCGTCATATCACAGCAAATGATGAAGCGTCTTCGTTGAGTGGTGACTTCATCATTGCTCACCACTCCCCTGCATAGCCGAAAGTATACCGTATGTATCCGTATGTGATAACGGTTTTCACACACACAAGCCCCGAAGGGCAATTGCTAAGAAATTGTTTCCCTTTTTCTCTCACTTTGAACATGTAGTCGAGCCTAGCGGACCAATGAAGAGATCACAATAACTGAAAAAACTGCAATGATAACAAAGGCACAGTAACGGAAGAAACTGAAAAATGACGTTAGTTGAACTGAACATTCTTCTGCACCAGTTGCTCAACGCTAGTGGGTTCTACACTAGGTATCATGAGCCGCAAATAACGAAATCCAATCACCATGATGAGCTCCGCGTTGCACTGACAGATTCCGTAAATTAAGTGTCGGACCACCAAAGTCCCTTCTCAGGATCGTACCGGCGAGATTACTAACGACTGAGGCGCGGACCACCAACTTCACTTCCGACGATTGATACGACCACCAACGTTACTTCTGACTATTACAACGTCCAGATCATAATGCGAACTGAGGGTCGGACAGTTGATGTTGTATGCGGCCAAGTCATGACTTAGGGTGAGGATCGGACAGTTTTGGATCATCTTCATCGATATACTGAAAATCGGATAGTTTGATGGAATAAATGTGCAAAAGGGTCAAGTACGGAACATGGATGAGCTTCGAATCCCTATAGGAATTGAGAATCAAGCTCATAAGAATCAAAACAGTAGCAAGCCTTGAACCCACGCAGACAGGATGTTTTTGATGAGTTAACGCATGAATGTATGACCGGAAATCAAATCAACTGGACAGTTAGCAGCATATGCAAATGGATAACGCACAATGACATGTCTTTTTACTGAACATACTTGAACACTTCATGTGCACTCAAATTCGCATGGACTCTATGGATGAAGGTCATGGTGGTTTTTCGAGCACGTTCATCTTGAAGAAGAATGGGATCACGACTTGATACTTGACCAAGAAGATCTTGGAGTTGAGGAAGATGTAGCCGACATGGATACACACTCGTAAGAATTAAACGAACACGAGCCACCAGTCCACTAAGCGCAGTTCTGGACACGCCACATCTGGTACTGTTTCTCAGTGGTTTGTTCCATGGGAGTTGCAACGTGATAGAATTTTGTTGACAATCAAAGCGATATCCCAACGCTTCGTCACCTGTCACATGTCCCAATAGATTGGGTTTTGTGTAAAAATCCAAGCGCCAGAAAAGTTGAGCTCCCGGAGTTGCTGAGTCAAGTCCAGTATGAATCAAAATGCGATTGTCTACGTAACGATGGTGGAAACCCATGTTTGGCCGAAAATACGAAACGAGGTATGAAAGGTCCATTCTCGTAATAGAGCGACTGCAGAACAGAAAATTGGTGCCCATTGCGATCCCATACTAGCACCACGATGTTGCTGGAAAACTGGACCCAATGTTAAAATAACTGTGGTTCAGTAAAAATCGACTTAAAGGACATATATATGATCTAGACGAATTGGTCGGTATTTCTGGCTCCGTGATCTCCAAAATCCTCGAAACGTCCGTAATGTGCGTTCAAGTGATTCTTGATGGACATTTAGAAATGAAGTTAGACTCTGACCATGAAGTTCACAGAAGCGGCAAACCGCAAAATGAATGGCTTGAAGCATTCGATCATGATCAACTTGGTTATAAAAACCTGCCATGTCTTCTTGGCGAAGCAACAGATCACCATAGGTATAGTCTTGACATGAAAAAAGTTGAGCTACAGATTGCAGTGCTGATCGAATGTCAGTGATTTGTAGCAAGTCAGAGTATACGACCTGTAATATTTCATGAAGAGCAGTGGCCAACGAACTACCCAAGGTCCGACACCAGGCGTTGGAGTAATCCACAATTGGGCGTGCTTTCTGAAAGTCTCGCGAAAGTTTGGGAAGGATGTAGGCAGTGCTGAGAGGATGTGAACTTGAAACCCCATTTGTACTGTTCTAAGATCCAACTCGGTAACTCCTGTTGAATTGTACGCGGCAAAGGTACGGGTAGCACTGAGCATTGAGTGAAAACTGTCGGATCCAAGAATGTCCGTTTCATCAACATCTGCCATTGTACAGGACAATGCAATGTCAGCGAATGAGGAAAATGATCAGAAGGTGATACCACAAAGGAACTCAGTTTGTGTTGAAGGTTCCGAATATGTCTTTGACCTTGTCCCTGTGTGGTGTCTTCTTGAATTCATCCCACAGTGTCCGAAGAAAGTCTTGCCAATACTGAATTAGCGAATGTGGTAATTTCCAACGTATTAACCATTGTTCGAATTGATATGTATTGTGATGAAGAAAACTGGTCCAAGAAGCTGCGATTTCCTCAGCCATGTGTTCGTGAAAAATGCTTTCATCAGGGTAGCATTCATGTGCGAATACCGAAATATGTTCAGTTTTCCGAGGTCGTTGTTGGATGGCTATTGGAAACAAATGACACTGGCATTGAGGTCCGTCGTCCGGAGTCCACCATGTCAAAGTTGATCGAAAAGTAAAGAAGACTTGGCCCAATGTGCAATTGCGAATACGAACAAATGGTGCGCGTACTTTGTGAAAGGGAGGAAACTGAACAGCATGATGAAAAGTGAATCCCAACAGCCACCGCTTAATTTGATCATGCATTGAATCTGACAGAATCTGTAGGCGCATGGGGACGTTGGGGGGTGGTGGTCCCGTTCCTTTGAATTGAAGAATCAACCTGAGTTGTGATTGGCTTCTGGTACGAAAAGGTTCCCCCAGGTGATGAGACAGTCGCCAAAGCAAAAACAAATAATTGACATCCGTTTGCGTAATCCTTAATAATTTTGATACATGAAACTTTTCGATTGTATCCGATCCCAGCCGAGTCAGCAAGTTAGCTTCAGACGTATGAAGTCTGCGTCCCAAAAGACAGATTTGTTCCGTAGGTGTCCGTTTCCGATATCTTCGACAGAACTTGCGACTCCGATCCAAGAACGGCTTGGTAAATACTGGACCAAAACTCTGCTTTACAATGTGGAACTTCTTCAATAGGGAACTGATCCACGGCCAATTGTACTGAGGTCGGTACGTAGTCTGAAAAGCGGTTTCAAGAGCACTCAACTGATCTGAATTGGTATGCTGCAGTGGAAAACAAGCGAATTGATAAAAATTGTTTAAATGGAACCAAATTTTCAACGCAGGTTCAAAATATGCTAATTGTTGATTGCAAAGCTGTCGATATTTGCGAACTGGACTCTGTTCTCGGTGAAAAACAGAATGTTCTGTGGCACCTTCAATGTAACAGTCGGCAGTGATCAAATCCATTCGCATATAAACAAGGGAAGTCTGCGTCCACCAAGTCCATGTGAGTCTGTATGGAAACTGTGCATGCTGAAAAATCGTCATAAGTCGTTTGCGTTTCTGTGTCCATGAATTCAAATATATTCCAAATATACAGTCCAATGGCTAAGAGATCACAACAACGTTCTTTGAATCTGCCAAGGCAACGGAGTGGAATACTGCAAAAGGCTAGCGAGGAGCAAAATATAGGATTGAGCAATCTGTCGAAAGTGTTCGAACTTACGTCGACAGCTTCGAGATAACTGCTGAGTACAAAACTGAATCATGCCACCTACTCCTGGTGGACTTACCTGATCTGTGGTGAAATCAAATTGTCAGTTACGTAGCAAC